TGGATAAATAAGAAAGGGAATGTATGTGTCCATGCTTTGGGATACTACTCAGCAAGAAATAGGAATGAAATATTGTTACATGCAACCTATGTAATTACAGTAATGAAGGAAAGTGAGAGACGTCAGACATATCATGGGTACAAACTGGATGATTCTTTTTATATAAAACTAAAAATAGTCCAACTTAATCTGTAGTGTTACAGATCAGTGGTTACCTGGGGATGATAAGGAAGTTGATAAGGAGGGCTAAGAGGGAAACTTCTTGGGGTGATAAATATGAAATGTGTATTATCTTGATTGTGATGTTTTCACAGGTGTATACAAATGGTAAAACTATTGTGTATGTCAAATTGCACATTTTATTTCTTTTTAAGGTTTATTTATTTGAAAGTCAGAGTTACAGAGAGAGAGAGAGAGAGATCTTCCATTTGCTGGTTCACTTCCCAGATGGCCACAGAAGCCAGGGCTGGGCCAGGCCGAAGCCAGGAGCCAGGAGCTTCATCTGGGTCTCCCATGTGTGTGCCAGGGGCTCAAGCACTTGGATCATCTTCTGCTGCTTTTCCCAGGCCATTAGCAGGGAGGTGGATTGGAAGTGGAGCAGCTGGGACACAAACCGGTGCCCATATGCGATGCCAGTGTTACGGGTGGTGGCTTCACCTGCTATGCCACAATGCTGGTCCCAAACCGCACACTTTAAATAAGATATTCTATGTCAATTTTATTTTCAATAAAGCTGTTTCTAAAATGCCACAGGTGTCTTATAGGAAAAAGATATGCTGTCTTAATACAAAAGCAAAAGACAGCTAGGGAGAGAAAGCTACAATAAAATAACTCTCCATGTTTGTATATATGGTATGGAAACTGGTTTAAGAAACATTCAAGTCTAATTGAAGTGAGCCAACTGAAGCTCAGGGCCGGATGTAAAAGAAAGTTAAAAGTTCATGATTTATTATTATCTTGTCTAAAGAGAGACCATGTAACTGAAGGGCACATGATGGGCCAGTCTGTATGCCTGCAGTGCTCTCCAGGATAAAGGGTGCTGGTAACTTTGGGCCAGGAAAGAATCCTTCCAAATACCTAGTCTGTTTCCTCTCCTGAGCCCCACACAAGCTGTTCAAACCATCAGCACTCCTGGAGCCCATCATGAGTTATGGTTCTGTGTACCAACATAGAACCTGGTACACACTTTGGTATTCAATACACATCTATTGACTGAAAGAAAGGGCGGCTGACGTCTGCCCCCCCTCAAAACTAGGTTAGGAATTCCTTTTTTATGATTGCATAGCATTTGGTGCTTCCCCAGCAGGTTTCTCTCTCTGTATTGCAACCCTGGCTACTATCTACCCCCCATAGCCACTGCAGGTTCCATGCGCGCAGACCTGGCTTCTGCATAGGCTTTCCTCCTTGCTCTATGCTCCAGCCATCCTGAACATAGTGTATGCTCTTTGCTCTTGCACCTGCTCCCTCTTACCCTGGCAGCTCATCTCACTTGCTTGGCTCAGTCATATTCCTTCAGGTCCTCCCTTAGCCATCACTTCATTTTTTTTTAATTAAAAAGTATTTATTTTTTGAAAGGCAGAGTTACAGAGAGTGAGAGAGAGATCTTCTATCTGCTGGTTCACTCCCCCAAATGATCACAATGGCCAGGGCTGGGCCAGGCCAGAGAGCCAGGAGATTCATCTGGGTCTCCCACACAGGTGCAGGGGCCCAAGCACTTGGGCCATCTTCCGCTGTTTTCTCAGGATATTAGCAGGGAGCTGGATCAGAAGTGGAGCAGCCGGGACTCAGATCAGTGCCCATATGGGATGGCGGCAATGCAGGCAGCTGCTTAACCTACTGTACCACAGTGCCAGTCCCAGCCATCACTTTCTCTGGAAACTGCTGTTTTCAAGTCTGGGCTAACTACCTGGTTGTGGAGCTCACAGGCATCTGAATTTATTTATTTCTCATTTCACATCGTGCAGTAACAGCTTGTCAAGTTATTAAGTTTCCTTCCCCTTCGATTACTAGTTCATCGTGTCCTCAGGCCCTAGCCTGGTTCCTGGAACAGAGCAAGCACTCAGTAATAGAACAACACAGAGATGAAAGAATGAGTCCTCACCAAGTCATCACTTGGTATAAACTTTGTTTCATGTGCTCTCTGTTATGGGCAGAAAATGCACTGACCAGCCAAGCTGAGCACTTTGGGCCATTCAGCTGTACTTCTTCACTTGCACACGGCCTCCTGGCTGTCAATGTCAAGGGGGTACAGAGGCACTGCCTCTGCTAGGAGTTGCTGTGCAGTTTCTGAGATCAGCTTTCCCACCTTTTCATTTCCTTAGAAATACTCGCTGAAGAAAAGAAACTGTCTTCCGACGGTCACTCCAACTTTCTGCTTTCCAGGTGTTTAGTTCCCACGTGCTACTTCTTTTACCAGGGACTCCTTTCTCCTCTTGGTTAGTGGCCTGGTAGTCTTCCAAGCAACAGGCCCAGAGTCAGCCCCCTTTGGAAGTTCTCCTGACTTGCACAGGTTGAGTTTGGGGCTCTTTCCCCATGTCCCTGGGCAGTTCCTGTTGTCTAGGAATGCACTTACTGCGTTACAGTCAGGGATCTTCCAGGGGAACACAGAAAAAGATGCCAAGATTTAAGTCCTAAATTCTCAGCCCCATCAAGTGCTAGGTGAGTGGCCTGGGGCCACTGTAAGTGTCAGGGAACAGGCTTCATTATCCTCATCGATTCTAACCTTCAGGAGTATTGCAACTAGCAAGTGGCGGAGCTGGGGTAGAAGCCACGTAGGAGTGGGACTGTGGAGCCTTCTCTTTCTGTCAGCTCACTGAGGCAAGCCAGGCTCTCTAAGGCTGGTTTTCTTACCTCTGAATGGGAGTGATGATATCACAAGGAGAGAGGTTCTAGCTTAAGACTGACTAGCGTCAGTAACAGAGACTGTAAGTCAAACACTTCAGATAGCTGAAAACTTGAATTCTCACCTTTATAGATCCCTTTGATAGTCCTCTAAATATTCATGGCTGCCAAATCTAGACTACTCTGTATCAAAGTTTCATGATAGAGCAACTCCTAGTCGGCTAAGGAGCATTATTTTTTTCTTTTTCCAGGTCAGTTGAGAAGCTCAGAAAATTGTACCTGTTTCTGAAATGAAGTACATGGGAGACAGATTCTCCTCTCTGATGCAAAGCACAAAATACCTTCAATGGGAGTGAGGCGGAGGCAAAGGGAAAAGCCAATTTTAGTCAAAGATTTGAAGGAGAGGCTGGTAATGGACAAAACAGGGTGGAAACTGTTTTCTTGCTACTAAAAAGAAAAAAGCTGCTAGAGCAGAACTGGAATCAAGGCAAGAAATAAGAGTGAAGCCAGCCCACCCGGCGAACCCCTCCATCTTCCACACTGTTCCATTAAACAGTGTATTTATAAATATGAACCTTTGCTGATTCTGCCAAGAATCTTAAAACTGCTTCTGTTTTTGCGGAAGAACTCAGGGAAACACGGTACATAATAATAATAACCTAAAAGCCCAGCAACACAGAGAAGTTCCCCGTTTGAACATAAGGAATAAGAAAAGCAGGTTTGGGAATCCTGCCTACTGTAAATATTGCCTCACTGTGCAATTGCTTGCCAGGCTAGGAACAGAGGGGAAAGCTACTCAGGGTTGGAGACTTGGAGACGACAGGCCTGGCTGGAGACAGGACCCAGTCTCCCAGGGGCAGATCGGAGGGTGTGCCGGCACACGGAGAGCTGACGTTAGGGGGGAAGCTTGGAGCTTCTCGCCTTTCTTAGCTTCATTCTCTGTCGCCTGTTTTAGAGATGTTTAGTCCCCTGAAGGGACTGGAACAATGCGCTAGCAGAACTTCGTGCCCTTATTTACTTGCAACATGAAAACTGTAAATTTATTGAGACAAAGTTTAACAGAGTTAAACTTTGGCAAGAACGCCTCCGGGTTGTGGGAAATGCAGAGCCAGAGTTGGGGAAAACAGCTTAGCAAGTGTCTGCCTGTGGTGAAAACCTGGTGCACACTCCCAGAGCGAGATTCAAAGTTCACTCGCTGACCCTCGCCCCTCGAGAACCCCCTCCCTCCCTTACCTCGGTTCACGGGTGGGGAAAGGGAGCCATTTGGACGCTCCTGGCGGGCGAAAGAGCTCTAAGAGAGGGGAGTTTATGCGAGAAAACGAAGTGGCTGGTGCAGAAGTGACAGGGAAAGGCAGTGGGCGGGCCGAGAGGTGACAGCAAGAGTGGCAGCAGGGACCGGGTAGGGCTGAGGACGGTGGGCGAGAGCCAACAAGCAGGAAGCCCCGGAGTAAACGGGTGAAAGTCCCGGGAGGCATCCAGACTAGGGGAGGTACGGGGTGGGGGTGGGGGAAGGAGGAAACTAGGCCGCTGGGCTGGGAGGGGAACACCAGGGTCGGCCAAGAAGGGGGCTGGGCCAAGAAGTCGGTCCCGCCCGAGGATGGCTCAGAGTGGACGGAAAGCATCCAAGTCCCAGCTTCGTGGTCCCTCGGTGCCACCCTCACTCGCCTGCAGGATCCGGGCCCGCACTGCCGCCGCCACCACCACCGCCGCCATGGTTCTCGGCCGCCTCTTCTACGCTCCCCCAGCCTCCACCGCCCGCGCTAGCCAGAAACACTACAGCTGCCAGGCCTCCCCCTCCATCCTGCCCGACCTTCTCATTCGTGGAGAGGAGCATTTCCTCTGGCCAATCACTCTCTAAAACACCTGACTCCACCCCCGCAGGCCTGCTCCTGCGGATATGTGATTGGTCAAAAGCGAAAGCGCTCTCGCCCCCTCCCACCTCAGAGAATTCTATTGGCGGAGGTAGGGAAGACGCCCCTACCTGGGTACTCTGTATTGGACACGGAGGGGAGACGCCCCCTAACCTGGAGTTCTGATTGGCTACAGCCACGACCAGGGTTCCACCCCCTACCGAGGAAAGTAAATAAGACCCTCCAAGAATTTTGCAGTCGCTCCGCCTCCGCAACAGCACGAGGGGCAGGGCTGTCGCTAGGGGCGGGGCTAGGCAAGGACTGTCCTATGGGGAGGAGAAACGAGACTGGGCTGCGAGTTGGCGATAGGGTTTCGCTTTGGGGGCGTGGCTTAGGGGTCCTCGCTTTCCCGCCGACGGTTGGCCACGTCACGTGACATGGGTTGGAAGATGGCGTCTCCCACAGACGGTAAGAGCCGGCTTAGAGACCCTTGGCCTGCAACCTCCTCCTTTGCTCCCATTGAGAACTTCCACTCTCCATCTGCCCCTCGAACGTACACTTCTTTCTCGGGAACCTCTCCTTTCCCTTTTCCTTGGTTTCACCTCGCCGGTTCTTCACATCCGCTGAGAGGCGCCGGGTTTCCCCGCTGTGTACCCTGCAGGTGGAGGAGAGCACCCACGTAGGGCAGAAGGACAGTGGTCTCATTGGCCCTCCTTTTTCCCTATTTGGCTGAAGTTGAGGGACGAGGAGGAGATACTGCTGAGAGAAAGGAGGTGCCTTGTTATATATAGTTTTCTGCTCCTCCGGGTGCACCGCTGATGTATCATCTCTGCTCGCACTGAGCACTGATCGAACTATCCTCAAGTCCTAGCTGGGTTGGTGGCCGACCCCGTCCGGGGACTGAATTGCAAGAGAAGCGGGGACCTTTTCGTCCCCTCGCCGCGAGGGTCCCCAGGAAATGACAGTTGAGCTCTGCTTTAGAGTAGTTTCGCGTACATCTCAGTCTCTGCAGGGGCCGCTGTGTGTGCGGGTTCCCCTGCCTGGATGTTGTCTAGGACGCGAGGTTTTGGTGTATCAGCGCGCTGTTGTGCTCCGATCTGCCCTAGAGAGCTAGGGTCTTGCGGTCTGCGCTTCCATCACCCCATCCCCAGGTCAGGTTCATTGATGTGCAATTTCCCCTCCTCGACCACAGAGTGTTTTTGGAAGAAATCTTGGGGAGGGCGTTTTTTTTTTTTTGCAGAGGTTTCATATTCTATATTGACACCATTGAAGAAAAATGAAACAATAACGAGACATAAGATTGGCAAAAATCAAAAAGACTAATGAGACCGGTTTTGTTACAGGTTGTCAGACGACCACATGAAAGTGTAAAGCAGTACTTCCTTTTTACCGAGTGACATGGAGATTGCTATCTAGATTACAGGGTTGTCTGAGTTTGAATTTCAATACCCTAATTATGGATTCTTAAATTTCTTCCCTGGAAGACAATTTGGCCTCAGGCCGATTAGCAATCTAAAGGAGGGGGTAGGAAAAAGCACCTAAGATCTCTTCCGCTGTCTCCTGGCTACCCTGGTCAACACCAGAGCAAGGTGCTGAATGGCTCACTGCAGAGATGATGGGACCTTGCGGGAGTTGTGTGGGGGTGGTCTACAAAATGGCTGCATCTTGGAACAGCTTGGTCAGAGCATGCCATTAGGGGAGGATTGGAAGACTGGATTATTGCGTCAGTTGATGGCCCCAGTGCCAGGAGAGGAGAGAGGTATACCAGCCTTCCCATGTGTGCCTCATTTTTACTCCAAATCTGACACCGATCATCCTGTCAAAATATTATGGGCTTACTCAACATATATGAAAGGCGTTAATACCAGGTGCTTCCGAAAATGTAAAAACGAATCAAACATGTAAACTTTTTTTCTCCCAGTTCCAGGTTTCTTTTAGATGTTGTTCCCCAAAGAGGCTTTTCCAGAACACAGTGTTGGAGTTGCCCCTCTCCCCTGTTTAAATATCTCAGTATCTTCACTGATGGCATTGTTATTCTGTTAGTTTTTCCTCTTTCACAGTAGATTATAAATTCCAAGTCTGTCTTGTTCACAGCTGAATCCTGGGATTCAGCAGCACAGTGCCTGATTTAGCATCTTAAGGCTCAATTAACATTTATTGAATCAAAGAATATATAGAGAGAGGAAATAATGTTTTGCTTGACCTTAAGTTTAACTGAGTTGTAACTTTTTGAGCATAGGTACATACTGTGTAAGAAATTGTGAATAATAGGGCCGGCGCCACGGCTCACTAGGCTAATCCTCCGCCTTGCAGCGCCGGCACACCGGGTTCTAGTCCCAGTAGGGGCCCCGGATTCTGTCCCGGTTGCCCCTCTTCCAGGCTAGCTCTCTGCTGTGGCCCGGGAGTGCAGTGGAGGATGGCCCAAGTGCTTGGGCCTTGCACCCCATGGGAGACCAGGATAAGTACCTGGCTCCTGCCTTTGGATCAGTGCGGTGCGCAGGCCGTGGCGGCCATTGGAGGGTGATCCAACGGCAAAGGAAGACCTTACTCTGTCTCTCTCTCTCTCACTGTCCACTCTGCCTGTTAAAAAAATAAATTAATTAATTAATTAAAAAAAAAAGAAATTGTGAATATTTAGAATCAGACAAGATTCTGCTAAATCCTCTGGCCAGAAAAAGAAGCGGGGAGGAGTTATTTTAAAAGTCAGCCAAAGGAGTCTGGTGCCGTGGCTCAATAGGCTAATCCTCTGCCTGCGGCGCCAGCACACCGGGTTCTAGTCCCGGTCGGGGTGCCAGATTCTGTCCCAGTTGCCCCTCTTCCAGGCCAGCTCTCTGCTGTGGCCCGGGAGTGCAGTGGAGGATGGCTCAAGTACTTGGGCCCTGCACCCCACGGGAGACCAGGAGAAGCACCTGGCTCCTGCCTTCAGATCAGTGCAGTGCGCCGGCCGCAGCGGCCATTGGAGGGTGAACCAACGGCAAAGAAAAATCTTTGTCTCTCTCACTGTCCACTCTGCCTGTCAGAAAAAAAAGAGTCAGCCAAAGGAATGGGGAGTTTTTATTTCATGGGTGCAGAGCTTTAACTTGAGAAGGGGAAAGGGCTCTGGTGGACAGTGATAATGGTTGCACTGTACTAATGTACTTAGTGACACTGAGCTCTAAACAATTTAGAAGTAGAGGTACTTGCTCTTAAAATGTTCAGTCTATTATTGTTTTTATGTTTATGCATGTAAGTCTTTGGAGATTTTGGGACTGCGTTCTTTATGTTTGAATTTTCCCCGTGTCCTCTCAATTTCTTTCTCTTTCTTCAGCCAGGAAGAGTATTGGAAACATTTAGTTTTTCCTGTAATCTTCTAGCCATCTCCAAATTCACTTTATTTTCACTCTTTTCTGTTTTTGAAAAGTTGGTTTTTGTTTTTTGTTTTTGTTTTGTTTTGGAGAGCAGAAAGAGAGTTCCCATCTGTTGTTTCACTCCCTAGCTGCCCACAGTGGCTAAGGTTTGGGCCTGGGCCAGGGCCAAAGCTGGTAGCCAGGAACACCGTTCTCCCGTGTGAATGGCAGGAACCCGATTTCTTGAGCAGTTACCACTGCCTCCCACAGTGGGCACTAGCAGGAAGCTGGAATCAGAAGCCAAGAATTGAACCCAGATACTCCAGTATGGGATGTCGATGTCTGAACCATTAGGCTAAATGCCTGTACCCTCCCTCTTTATTTTTAAAAGTCCGGGTTCTCATCTCTACAGAGTTTCACCCTTCTCCACCTAATCTTTTCTTTTTAATCTGACAAAGTCAGTTAAGCACTTTCAACTTAAATTCAGTTTCTGAATAACTAACTCAATTCTAAAATATTCCACTGCCTAGCTCTCTCACTTCTATATTTTGAGTTCACTTGTCTCTCTTATTTATTTATTTATTTATTTATTTATTTATTTATTTAGAAGGCAGAGTTACAGGCAGAGGGAGAGGCAGAGAGATCTTCCTTCTGGTTCACTCCCTACGTGGCTGCGATAGCCAAGGCTGAGCTAGGGTGAAGCCAGGAGCTTCATCTGGGTCTCCCACATGGGTGCAGTGCCCCAAGAAGTCGGGCCATCCTCCACTGCATTGCCAGGAGCTTTAGCAGGGAGCTGAGTTGGAAGTGGAGCAGCCAGCACTTCACTGGTGCCCATATATAGAATGTTGGCCCTGTATGCCGGGGCTTAGCCTGCTGCGCCACACCACTGACCCCCACCTGTCCCTGACTTTAAAGCTTAATTCACATAATGATGATTTGTAAATAAGTTAAGATCCTTTACTTTTGTGTCTGTGTGTGTGTGTGCCAAGTTTGCTGGAACTTATTTGAAAAGGAGCAAATTAGAATCCAAGTAAAGCCACTTAATTATTGAATTTGTAAGTGTAAGACAGCAGAGTCTGAGTTATGTCCCAGACATACCAGGTGCTTCCGAAAATGTGAAAACGAATCAAACATGTAAACATTTTTTCCCCCAGTTCCAGGTTTCTTTTAGAAGTTGCCTCCCGGCCGGCGCCGCAACTCACTAGGCTAATCCTCCGCCTAGCGGCGCCGGCACACCGGGTTCTAGTCCTGGTTGGGGCGCCGGATTCTGTCCAGGTTGCCCCTCTTCCAGGCCAGCTCTCTGCTGTGGCCAGGGAGTGCAGTGGAGGATGGCCCAGGTGCTTGGGCCCTGCACCCCATGGGAGACCAGGAAAAGCACCTGGCTCCTGGCTCCTGCCATCGGATCAGCGCGGTGCGCCGGCCGCGGCGGCCATTGGAGGGTGAACCAACGAACCAACGGCAAAGGAAGACCTTTCTCTCTGTCTCTCTCTCACTGTCCACTCTGCCTGTCAAAAAAAAAAAAAAAGAAGTTGCCTCCCAAAGAGGTCCTGCGCTTTTTTTTTTTTTTTGACAGGCAGAGTGGACAGTGAGAGACTTTTTTTTTTTTTTTTAAGATTTATTTATTTTGCTTGAAAGTCACAGTTACACAGAGAGAGGAGAGGCAGAGAGAGAGAGAGAGAAGTCTTCCATCTACTGGTTCACTCCCCAGATGGCCGCAATGGCTGGAGCTGTGCTGATCTAAAGCCAGGAGCCAGGAGCTTCCTCTGGGTCTCCCACGTGGGTGCAGGGGCCCAAGGACTTGGGCCATCCTCCACTGCTTTCCCAGGCCATATCAGAGAGCTAGATTGGAAGTGGAGCAGCCAGGTCTCGAACCGGCACCCACATGGGATGCTGGCACCGCAGGCAGCAGCCTTACCTACCACGTCATAGTGTCAGTCCCGGTCCCCCTCATTTGTCATTGGATCCTACCCTTCAGTAAGTTCATTTTTGTTATGGTTGAGCTCCTCGTCAATAACAAGTAGAAAACTGGCATTTTGTGTTGCATATAGCCTTTGCTTTAGTTAATGCAGTGTACTAGACTTGAATTCTTTACCAGTAGAATGTTTTAGAAATTCCCTTGGAATATTTGGTAAAAGAGGTTCAGTTTAGAAAAAGCATTTATTGAAAAGTTTTATGTATAAATGTACATTTTTCAGGGAAGTGAGTCTGTAGCTTTTCTTTTCAGATATCTAAAGATGTAGTTTGGTGCTGGTGCTGTGGCATAGCAGGTAAAGCCTCCGCCTGCAGTGCCGACATCCCAGCTGCTCCACTTCAAATCTAGCTCTTTGCTATGGCCTGGGAAAGCAGTAGAAGATGGCCCAAGTGCTAGGGCACCTGCACCCATGTGAGAGACCCAGAAGAAGCTCCTGGCTTCAGATAGGTTCAGCTCCGGCCATTGCCTCCATTTGGGAAGTGAACCAGTGGATTGAAGACCTCTCTCTACCTCTGCCTCTCTGTAACTTTGCCTTTCAAATAAATAATTTAAAAAAATGTGGTTTACCCAGAAAATGTTAAGGACCACTATTTGTAGCATTAAATGAACTAATTTTTGCTTCTAGTTAGCATACTGAACACACAGTATTAAATCAAATACTGAGTACCTGTTGTGTGCCAGGGGAACAGTAGAGGGGAAATGGTGTCAAAGAACTAGACAAGTACTAGATCATGTAGAATTTTTTTAAAAAAAGATGTATTTATTTGAAAGGCAGAGTTACAGAGAGGCAGAGCACAGAGAGGTCTTCCATCCACTGGTCGGCTCCCTAGATGGCTGCAAAGGCTGGAGCTGCGCTGATCCAAAGCAGGAGCCAGGAGACTCTTCCAGGTCTCCTACGCAGGTGCAGGGTCCCAAGCAATTGGGCTATCTTCCACTGCTTTCCCAGGCCATAGCAGAGAGCTGGATCAGAAGTGGAGCAGCCGGGACTTGAACTGGTGCCCATATGGGATGCCAACTTTGCAGGCAGTGGCTTTACCTGCTACAGCATAGCACCAGCCTCTGTGTAGAATTTTTTTTTTAAATAAATTTATTTATTTGAAAGGCAGAGCCATGGAGATAGAGGGAGAGACAGAGAGAGATCTTCCTTCCACTAGTTCACTCCCCATATGGCCACAACAGCCAGGACTGGGCCAGGCTGAAGCTGGGAGCCAGGAACTCCATCCCAGTCTCCCATGTGGGTGGCAAGGGCCCAGGTTTTTGGACCATCTGCTGCTTTCCCAGGTGCACCACCAAGGGGCTGGATCACAAGTAGAGCATCTGGGACTGGAACTGGTGCTCACATGGGATGCTGGCATTGTAGGTGAGAGTTTAACTCACTGTACCACAATGCTGGCCCCTTATATAGCCTTTTTTAGGGTATGGAGATATATGTTCACAGATTAGGTGGGAAAATAGACTATACACTCGAGAGTGACGTGAACTGATTGACATGTTTCAAAAAATCAGTTCTGACCACTTAGTGGAGAACAGATTTGGGGCTAAGGAGGAGAAAGGAGTGGAACAGAAGGAAAGAGATCTTTTAAGAGGCTCTTGAACTAGTCAAGAGAAGTGATAATTCCTTGAGTTAGCTTGGTTTCAGGACTTTTAAAAAATATTTATTAATTTTATATGAAAGGCTGAGTTAGAGAGGTTCTATGCGCTGGTTCACTCCACAGATGACTACAGTGGAACCTGGAACTCCATCTGTTCTCCCATACTGGTAGGGGCCAAAGCACTGGGGCCATCCTTCGTTGCTTCCCAGGCACAGCAGCAGGGAGCTGGATCGGAAGTGGAGCAGCTGGGACTCAAACTGGTTCTCTTACGGGATGCTGGTGTTACATGCCGCAGCTTAAACCACTGCACCACAACGCTAGCCCCCGAGATCTGTTTTGAAGATAGAAACTACTAGATATACTGATGGGTTGGTTATAGAAGGGTGACATTGGGTTTTTCATTTGAGAATTGAGGCCCATGGGGTGCTGTTCTTTTACACAGAGAGGATTGAGACTGCGATTTTGAACATGATAGGTTCAAGGAGTTTTTTGCAAATGTAAATGGAAGAAAATGTCAAGTAGCCATGGTGGACATAGAATTCTGAAGTTCAGGACAAAGGTTGGAACCGGAAATTTAAGTATGGAGTTATTGGTATATAGATGACGGCAAAGGCCATGAGATTAGGTGAGGTGGAGAGTGGGTCCTGGATAGGATTGGGCTGCGGTGCTGGAGGAAACTGAAGACGTCACTGATAGAGGAGGAAACTGAAGACGTCACTGGTAGAGGAGGAAACCTGGCACAGTGGTTTCGCAGAGCTAGGAGCAGTGTTTGACGGAGAGTGGTCCGTACATGGATGGCTTCAAACAAGTCACGTAAGAGAGAACAGAAAAGCAACTGCTGTTTTTAGCAGCATAGATACAAACACAGATGAGCTTGACAACATCGGGTTGTACATATATAGGGGCAGCCTGATTATTGTAGGTGGAAGAAATAGCATGAGGTGAGGAAGTGATGACAGTGGTTAGAAAGCTCAAGAACTTTCACAGTTATAGGGGGTGTGGAGGAGGTTATGGGGTCAAGAGAGAGATTTTTTTTTAATAAACATCTTTAAAAAATTCTTTTGAGAGAAAGACAGACACACATACACACAAAGTCGTGAGAGTCAGAGCTGCTACTGGTTTACTCCCCCTATGCCTGCACCTGCTCAGGGCTAGGCCAGGCTGAAGCTGGGAACTCAATCCGGGTCTCCTACCTGGGTGGCAGTAATCCAATCACATGAGCCATTACTACTGCCTCCCACATCCACATTAGCAGGAAGCTGGAATCAGGAGCCAGAACTGGGAATTGAACCTAGGTACTCTGACAGAAGACACAGGTGTTCTAACTGGTATCTGAACTGCTAGACCAAATGGCTAACTGCCTCTACACTTATCTTTTGGTTCCATTTTCCTGCAAACTTAAGAAAAAATGTTTGCAAGACAGAATTTCCTTCTGCTGCTCTACTCTCCAAACACCTACACTGAAACATTTTTTTTAAAAAGATATATTTATTTATTTGAAAGGCAGAGAGAGAGAGAGAGGTCTTCCATCTGCTGGTTCACTCCCCAATTGGCCACAACGGCTGGAGCTGCGCTGATCTAAAGCCAGGGGCCAGGAGCTTCTTCCAGGTCTCCCACGTGGGTGCAGGGGCCTAAGGACTTGGGCCATCTTCTACTGCTTTCCCGGGCCATAGCAGAGATCTGGATCGGAAGTGGAGCAGCCGGGACTTGAACTGGCACCCATATGGGATGCCAGCACCGAAGGTGGCAGCTCTACCCGCCATGCCACAGTACTGGCCCCTTCACTGAGACTTTATTTTTATTTTTTTTTAAAGATTTATTTATGGGGCTGGTGGTGTGGCAATGCCTACATCTCATACGGGAGCCAGCCAGTTCAAGTCCTGGCTGCTTCACTTCCTATCCAGCTCCCTGCTAATGTGCCTGGGAAAACAGTAAAAGGTGGCCCAAGTGCTTTGGTCCTTGTATCACGTGGGGGACCCAGAAGAAGCTCCTGGCTCCTGTCTGGCCCAGCCCTGGCTGTTATGGTCATTTGGGGAGTGAACCAGCAAATGAAAGATCTCTTCCTCTCTCTGGCTCTCCTTTTCTCTCTAATACTGACTTTAAAATAAATCTTAGAGAGAAAAAGAGATTTTCCATCTGCTGGTTGACTCACCACATTTCTGCCCAGGCCTTGGCCAGGCTGAAGCCAAGAAATTCTTCCTGGGCTCCCAAGTGGGTGCAGGGGCCCAAGGACTTGGACCATTCTCTGCTGCTTTCCCAGACCATTAGCAGAGAACTGGATAAGAAGTGGAGCAACTGGGGCTGGCACTGCGGCCCAGTGGGTTAAAGCCCTAACCTGGTGCCAGCTTACCGTATGGGCACAGTCCCATTTCAGCTACCTGCTAATGCTCCTGGAAAAGCAATGGAAGACAGCCCAAGTCCTTGGCCCCCAGCACCCACGTGGGAGATCTGGAAGAAGTTCCTGGCTCCTGGCTTTAGCTCATCTCTGGCTATTGCGGCCATTTGTGGCATGAACCAGTGAATGGAGGATCTCTCTCTCTCTTTCTCTGTCTCTACCTCTCTCTGTAACTCTTGTCTTTCAAATAAATAAAATAATTTAAAAGAAAAAAAAGTGGAGCAACCAGGACATGACCTGGCAACCATATGGGATGGAGGCATCATAGATGATGGCTTAATCCCCTACATGTCGGCCCCCTGAGAGTTTATTTTTAAGAAGGGAAATTCTAGAGCAGCTTACTTGTTGAATATGAACCTAAAGAAAGTAGAAATAGTTAGTGCAAGGGAGAAAAGATTGTTTGAGATGATGTCCTTGACAAAGCAGGAGAATAGATATCTGGAACTTGGCAGAGATGTTTATCTTTTTGGGAGCAGGCACACTTAATTGGTTGTAACTTCAAGAAAGTCCAGGAGTGTGAGTAAAGATGCAGGTGGGTTTGTCAATACTCATTTTTCTTACCACTACTCTAAATATTGCTTTCGTTTTAAAGATTAGGAGAGTGAGGTTTGGTGAGGAAGAATGACTTATTTGTATTACATCATGGTCCAGTCACATCAGTAGTTATAGAACCTAAACCTCTAGACTTTGAGGTGAGCATTCTAGTTTATATTCTTTGAGATTGAAATTTCATAAAATATAAATTATATGTCTCATGTCTTTTTGGCTCACCTGGATGTTTTGTTCTAGGGACAGATCTGGAAGCATCTTTGCTAAGTTTTGAAAAACTTGACCGTGCCTCACCAGATCTTTGGCCAGAGCAATGTAAGTTTTTGCTTTCTTTATATGAAAACACTATAGATGTCAAAATTCTGTCTATAACTCTCTGTCTCTCTCTCTCTCTCACTGTCTGACTCTGCCTGACCAAAAAAAAATCTGAGAAACTGCCCAGGCCATCAGGATTTTGCATATCTGAAAAGCCACCAAGTATCTGAAAGATGTTACATTAAAGACACAACATGTGCCATTTCTTTGTTATAATGGTTGAGATTGTAGGTGTGCCCAGGCCAAGTAGTAGCACTGAATACCAAGTTGATGACCCAAAAAGACTGAATTTTTGTTGCACATTCTTAAAAATGCAGAGAGCAATGCTGAGCTGAAGGTTTTGGATGTAGATTCTCTGGTTGGTATTCTCTGCCTATTGAATATATCCAGTTGAACAAAGCACCCAAGATGTGCCATCATACCTACAGAGCTCATGGTCAGAGTAACCCATCTATGAACTCCTATGCCACACTGAAAAGAAACAGATTGTTCCTAAACCACAAGAAGAAGTGGCACAGAAGAAAAAGATATCCCAGAAGAAACTGAAAAAATAAAAACTTATGGCTTGGGAATAAATTCAGCATAAAGTAGATGCAAATTTAAAAAATGTGCTTACTCCAGAATAAAATTCTGTTTTAATTCCAACTTTTGTAGAACTTTGAAGTGTCTTTGTTCCTTTTTGTATGTGGAAGAAGGTGACTATGTATCAGAGTGCCCATTTCCTCACATACCAGCCAATAGTAGCTGTTACTAATCTTTATTATTTTTGGTTTGCATTTCCTCATTAGTGAAGCGGCACATTATTTTATTTTAAAATACAATTTGTATTTTCCTGCTTTTCAATGTGATTCTTGCTAGAAGAATTGCATTGACAGAAGAGCGTATGTACAAAAGTTTAAAATTCTGGTAAGATGTATCTCACCACTGTCCCAACCAGCTGGCTCCTTCATAGTTGAGGTATATTTTCTCTGAGAGCTTCTCCTGTCCCTGAGTCTGATGTAGATTTCCATTTTTTTGTCCTCCCATAGCACCTGGTATCCTTCTTGTAGTGCTTCAACAGTATCGTTGTTACTGATTTACTCTTTGTCCTCTTCCAGAATGTAAGCTCCTTGAAGGAAGACTGTTTTCTTATTATTTGACTTCTCTATGCCCGAGCACTCAAGTGTTTATCGAATGGATGATGTTCTTTTTTTTTTCTTTCTAGTACCAGGTGTTGCTGAATTCGCTGCTTCCTTCAAAAGTGTAAGTAATAACTTACATAATGAAGTTTATCCAGAGGTTTTTGAGTAAAAGCTGAAATCTCTGTTACTTTTTCAAGAGTAATGTCATAGCCTTCAAATCATTTTGTGACTTCAGTCATAACTCCATTTAAACTGTCATCATGTTCATTGGTGGCAGTGCCTTTCTTTGATCAAATGCTCTATTATGACATTTTGAACCGTGTCTCTTAACCTCTTTTCTCAGCAGTTGAAATATTTGAAGTAACATCAGTATTTTTTTTGCTCAAACTATTATTTTGGAAGTGCTTCTCTTTTGTTTATGTGTTGCATTATGACCTTAAGTTGCACCTCCTTAAAGGATTTTGAAATTTATCTGATTCAGCAGAAACCTGAAGGAAGACATCTCTTAGAGTCATAGCCATTTCCACTTTTGGGGCAGCAGGAATTGTGCTTAATGCTCTAAGTATCTTCTCTTACCTATTCCCATAACCAGGAAGAAATGATACTACTTGTGATACTTTGTAAAACATAATGTTTGCTAAATGCCAGGTGCTATTCTAAGGACTTTACATATGTTATTTAATCACAAAATCCTATGAGATATAGGCACTATTATTATCATTCCTAGACAAGAAAATAGGCTCAGATTGAATAAGGTACCAAAGATGATGGGCTGTAAGTGGCACAACTGGACTCTGCACCTGTTAGCCTGATTACCAGCGTCCATATTCTTGACACTGCTTAGAGAAGCATTTGAGTCCTATGTTAAAAGCACAGACTGGCAACACAACTTTGAAGTTACTTACCCAATTCCTACTAAGTGGCAGACTAAGGCTTGAATGGAAGTCTGTCTGATTCCAAAGCCTATGTTCTTTTTTAGACCATGCCATTGAGGATTCTAATATGATGTTCATTGCTTAGCCTTCTCTATTCATTGTGGAGAGTTAAAGATGGCTTTTTTTTTTTTTTTTTTTTTTTTTTTTTTTGGACAGGCAGAGCTAGACAGTGAGAAAGAGACAGAGAGAAAATTGGTTCACCCCCAAAATGGCCGCTACAGCCGGCATGCTGAGCCGATCCGAAGCCAGGAGCCAGGTGCTTCTCCTGGTCTCCCATGGGGTGCAGGGCCCAAGCACTTGGGCCATCCTCCACTGCACCCCCGGGCCACAGTAGAGAGCTGGCCTGGAAGAGGAGCAACCAGGACAGAATCCGGCGCCCCAACTGTGTCACTCCCCCTCTTCGCGGAGGAACGACACAGGACCCTGCGCTGTTCTTTTGTCTGCTCGTTCTTCCCGGGTTGGCTACCGTCCCTTCCACCTCCGTGGAAGGGCGGTTCCCCCTGCCACTTTCCCCACTTCCGTGGGGGAGCGGCACACCGCCGGCCGGCTCTCCCGGGGGCTGCTCAGGTGTTCCTTCATATAGATGTTCCTTCAGATGTTCCTGGTGCATGTTGTCTCTCTCCTGCTTTATAGTCCTCTTCCACCAATCCCAACTCTGCTACCCACACGCCGAGTACGCTGCTCTCCTCCAATCAGGAGCAGGATCAGCTCCTGCAGGTTACTGGTCAAACTGGAGGCAGCTGTGTAGAAGCTGTTTACTCCTCTCCCAGCGCCATATTGTGTGAGAGCAGATGCATAGAATAAGTCTTAATTCCAGTAACTTAGTCTAGTCCAAGTTGCTCCCCACACAACTGGGACTAGAACCTGGGGTGCCGGCGCCGCAGGCGGAAGATTAGCCTAGTGAGCCGCGGTGCTGGCTGAAAGATGGCTTTTTTTTTTTTTTTTTTTTTTTTTTTTGACAGGCAGAGTAGACAGTGAGAGAGAGAGACAGAGAGAGAAAGGTCTTCCTTTTTGCTGTTGGTTCACCCTCCATGGCCGCCGCTGCAGCCGGCGCACCGCGCTGATCCTGGCAGGAGCCAGGAGCCAGGTGCTTTTCCTGGTCTCCCATGGGGTGCAGGGCCCAAGCACCTGGGCCATCCTCCACTGCACTCCCTGGCCATAGCAGAGAGCTGGCCTGGAAGAGGGGCAACCGGGACAGAATCCGGCGCCCCAACCGGGACTAGAACCCGGTGTGCCGGCGCCGCAAGGTGGAGGATTAGCCTATTGAGCCATGGCGCCGGCCTGAAAGATGGCTTTTAAAAATCTGATCCGGGCTGCTGTTGTGGCGTAGCAGCTAGAGCTGCTGCATGTAGTCAGTATCCTTTATGGGCACTGGTGTCCCAGCTGCTCTACTTTTGATTTGGCTCCCTGCTAACAGCCAGGGAAAAGCAGCAGAAAATGACCCAAGTGTTTAGGATCCTGCAACCCACTGGGAGACCCAGTTGAGGCTCCTGATTTCAGCCTGGCCTGTGTGGCCATCTGGGGAGTGAAACAACAGATGCAAGATCTTTTTCTTTGTAACTCTGGCTTTCAAATAAACACATAATTAAAAAAAAATCTTATTCAGCATCTACATCTTTACCTTAGAGTTGTGCACGTACATATTATTTTGTTTCTAGGGTCCCAAGGACATTCCAGGATGCCAAGTTAAGATCTCCTAGGATAATCTTTCCCCATAAGGGGTAAAATGGTGAATTTGACTTAGAGCCTTCTAAGCCAGGCAGTGTAGACTACTCATAGTGGTTTCTAGATTCAGATTACCTGAACCTAGAAATCCTTTTAAATCCTGGCTCTTCTAGCTATGTGACATGAAGCATCATCCCTGTTCTTGGTTTTTCTCAATTGTAAAATAAGGATAATGCCTACTTGGTTAGGTTGATTTGGTTGTAAATAACATGGTGCATGTAAAGTCTTTTGTTTGGCACGAGTTGGTGCTGCTGAGTAATTGTAATTCTGTAAGAGAGATGGACCCAAAGCTGAAATTACACTTCTCAGTCCATTGGAAAATGCGTATGTGGAATCCCTCGTCCAGCTCTTTCCAGGAGATCCTCTTGAGAACCTGATATTGGAAATCAGTACGTCTGGGATACAGCCAAAGCATTTATGTATTTTTTAAAATTACATAGGTGATTCTCGAGTGCAACTGAGATTGAAAACTGCTGATCCAAAGCTGTTCTTACAAGCAAGTTAGTGTATGCCTAGAATAATAGTGTTAGTGGTCACACCTAATTCTGCTAAGATCATTTCTCCAAGACCAACTTTAAAGATAAAAAGAATTATTCTGTAAGGTGACTATTTGTAGATCATATCAACCTGGATAAACTGAAGACAATGTTTTCAGACAACCTGAAGGTTGTATGTGTGACCAGCTACATTTCCTAAAGGAAGGAAAAGGCGGTCTCATCACGCTGTGTACCTGTCTGAATGGTTATATTCTTATTTTCTGACAGCCTATTACTAGCTCCCCACCCAAATGGATGGCTGAAATAGAACGTGATGATATTGACATGTTGAAAGGTAAGCAACACCATTTATGTTCCTCTACAAATCACCTTTGCTATTGTTTTTTCACTATTTCCTTACAAGTATGAAGATACTTCAAAAAATTCATGGAAAAATGGAATTAAAAATGAGTGTATTTTAGTGCAAAAAATATTGAAATCCAAGATTTGTTACAATTGAAATTAAGTTCATTTTTTATTTTATAAAATCTAAGATTTGTTAGAAAGAATTAAAATTTTAAAGTTCATCTTTTATTTTAAGTCTAGTCTCTTTCCACTATAACACAAGTCCCTTATTTAGGATTGACCGTCATGTGCTGTTGTCAGTTCCTTACCTTAGTGAGTTAAAACCTACCTTTATTTCTTTCTGGCCCATCAATTTCTTCCATACAGAATACCATAAGTAGTGAATGCTGTTGTTTGATAAATGATTTGGAACTTATTCACAAAGTAGAAGTTTAAATTAAAAAACATTAATTTTCCTTGATTTTCCTGTACTTTATTTATTTTTCATCATCCTTCTGGTGATAAGATTCATGATGGTTGTGAAATAATAGACTGAAATTAAAGTGAGAACCCAGGATTCTTGAACTATTTAAGCAGCTGAACAGATCAGGAAGGCTTGCTTATGCCAGATATAGATAATGACTGCAGCATGATAAATGGGAGAAAAAAACCTTTATTTGATTTCAGAAGTAATTCATTGTTCTGTGTGAAATGCTGAAACGTAGATCCCTTCCTCTACCCATGGAAAAATTAAGTTTCAAGGACATCTAAAAGGTTCATTGTTCTAATGTGTGAAATAGTATTTATATAACACCCTATCAGTGTGTATTTCCTAGAGAAACTTTAAATTTTTCGTTAAGGGTAATACCAGTATGTTTCATTTAAATTGACTTGTGTCTTAAACTTAAAAAGAATTAAGTGTTATTTAAATGAAAATCTGGGGAGGTAAGTTGTTATTTTAGGTATACTCTCTGAAGGGAAAATATGTATTTATATTTAGGCTTTGTTTTCTAAACTCATGGAAATGGGGAATAGTAAGCATATTGTTGCTGTTTTATTGTTATTGAAATAATTGTGACTTATAAATGACAAAGGATATAGTGTATATTGACAGGATAATATATAATGACAAGATATAATTTTGCAAGATAGAGATCTGTCAGCAAGGCTTTCTCAATGCTATGTCAAGTCATACAAAGTTTTATATTTTAATGATACACTCATTTTGTGTAATAGACTAAATGAATGGAATAAAAGGCTCTTTAGGGTAAAACACTTCATTTATTATTGTACTTGTGCTTTCCTTATTAAGTGGGTAAGCTCATCTGAGACACTCTGCAATAGTGTAAAAATTCACTGATTTTGTGTGTATGTATGTGCGTATAAGATTGGAGAAAGTGTAAGAACCCATTTTCTACTTATTCAATAGAAATTAAGCTTGAAGGCAGACATTTATGTAGTAGTTAACATGCTGCTTGGCATATCCACATTCTGTATTAGAGTCCAAGGTTCAAATTCTGGCTCCAGCTTCTTGCCAGGATGCACACTGTGGGGACAGTGTGTGGTATCTCAAGTATGTGAGCCCCTGCTACCCATGTGGGAAGTACAGATTGAGTTCTCAGTCCCCAGCTTAGGCCTGACCCAACCACAGCCGTTGCAGGTGTTTGGGGAATGAACTAGCAAATGGGAGATTTCTCTCTCTCTCCCTTTCTGCCTCAAATAAATAAATAAGTAAATCAGTAAATAAATATTTAAGGAACCCATTTTTAAAAAGTAAAAAAAAAATTAAGCTTGAAAAATATTCCCAACCCAAATGAAATATTACTAGAAGATAGTAGGAAGAAATAGTATTGAAATAAATGATTCTGTTTCAGAACTGGGAAGCCTCACCACGGCTAATTTGATGGAGAAGGTACGAGGCCTACAGAACCTGGCCTATCAGCTGGGACTGGATGAGTGTGAGTACCCAGATCCCATTTATTCAGGGCTATATGTTGCACATTCCAGGATGAGTTCTAGTTATAATTCAGAAAATGTCTTTATTAAATAAAGGAAAGTGTTCTGAAGGTAAGAAGTCAATGTAATTTAAAGTCTATCTTTTATGATAAGTATGCTGGAATAATAACTGGACTTACTAGACACTATGTCTCACTGCAGTACGTTTTAAGCAATAGAATGTTGACACAGATGAGCTCAAACAGAAGAGAGACTTTATTATTTCTTAGTTTGCATAGTTTTAAAGTCCAGGGACAGAAATAGGCCTGAGGCTGTAGATCCATGACTTACTGATACGAGTGGGTGTGCTTTTGTTCGTCTTAAAGCTTTGCCTCACTTGTGCGTGAGTCACATTCTTTGCTGCTGCAGGTAGCTTTTTCCTGGCACTGAGGAAAGAACTGCAGTTTATGTGTCTTTAAATATAATGATTCCAAAGGAAACAAAGAATGTCTTTTTCTGAGTATTCCCTCCCCACCCCAAAAAAACAGTTCCCGGGGAAGACTCAACTGTGTTCTGTCTTGGCTCACAAATGCACCCTTGGACCAGTTGCTTGGCCTGGTGGCCTGGAGCACTTGGCTGGACCATCCTGGGTCCTGGATGCAGCTGTAGACTAGAAGGGCTAGTCTGACCCAAATGACAAAGGAAGGGCTATACAACAGACTAAAACATACCTGCTGCTATGAGTAATGCTTTTTTTAAGAATTATTATTATTTTTTTTTATTTATTTGACAGAGTTATAGAGAGACAGAGAAAAAGGTCTTCCTTCTGTTGGTTCACCCCCCAAATGGCCGCTATGGCCGGAGCTACACCAATCCGAAGCCAAGAGCCAGGTACTTCTTCCTGGTCTCCCATGCGGTGCAGGGCCCAAGCACTTGGGCCATCCTCCACTGCCCTCCCGGGCCACAGCAGAGAGCTGGACTGGAAGAGGAGCAACCGGGACTAGAACCTGGTGTCCATATGGGATGCTGGCGCCACAGGTGGAAGATTAACCAAGTGAGCCACGGCGCCGGCCCCATGAGTAATGCTTTAACATTTTCCATTTATATCTTTCTGTTCTCCATTATTTTAGTTTAAAGTCATTCCCTTATAAATTGTATACTTTCTTATAGTATGTTCATTATAAAATTGGAGAAAATTTATAGAAAATTCTCACTTTGTAATTGAAAAACAAAATACTAAATGTAAATATAGTGATTATAGCCTATTCTCAAAGGGTATCTTCTGAGACCTTCATAAATCAACATTTTGAGAGTGCTACTATAGTTTGTAGTGTTCATGAAAAATTTAGGTTTGTAGCAATCCCACATAGTTTGATAAGTTGGTTTTTTCTTGTTTATTTACATTTAGTATATTTGTTTACATCACTGATAAAATTTACAGGCAAATTCAAATTTTCATTTTAAAATTTAAAATGCCTAGGTTTTCACTAATAAATCATCACTTCTTTAGCCCTCTGTATCTTTTCTTTATTTCCATTACTTCTATCAACAGCAATTGGCTTTCTTTTACCAAGAAACAGTTTTTAATAATTTCTTGAATCAAGACATAGAAAACAATAAACTTCTTTGATATAAGGTTGTTAGGTTGTCTGCTGGGTTCCCTAACTCTCTTCTGAATACTGGTGATTTTATTTCTTGTGATTAAAGTTTATATCTTGGCAAAATGACTAATAACCATGTATGTCATGGACCTTTAGGGTATAATAAAGAGGCAAATATTTGACTATTAAATTCATGAATGCAAAGTCTGTATAGTTTAAAATTCCTTGATTTTGCTTCTAACTTTGGATAATAAATGCTGTAATAATCATAATGACCAATCTTTTATCTGTGTCAATTTTTAATGAGATAAATGTTTTGCTTATTATAGCAAAAAGAGTCTACCATAGCAAATGTATTTGCCAGGTGTATTATTTCTTTTTTTTTTTATTATTATTTTTTATTTTTGACAGGCAGAGTGGACAGTGAGAGAGAGAGACAGAGAGAAAGGTCTTCCTTTGCCGTTGGTTCACCCTCCAATGGCCGCCGCGGCCGGCGCACCGCGCTGATCCGATGGCAGGAGCCAGGTGCTTATCCTGGTCTCCCATGGGGTGCAGGGCCCAAGCACCTGGGCCATCCTCCACTGCACTCCCTGGCACAGCAGAGGGCTGGCCTGGAAGAGGGGCAACCGGGACAGAATCCGGCGCCCTGACCGGGACTAGAAGCCGGTGTGCCGGCGCCGCTAGGCGGAGGATTAGCCTAGTGAGCCGCGGCGCCGGCCCAGGTGTATTATTTCTAATTAGTTGTAGCTGAAATTGTTCTCTCTGATTAGTTTCTCTTTTTCTGCTTTCCTAATGAGAAAAGTAATGAAGTATTTATTCCCACTTTTTATTATGAAAAATTTTAAATATATACCAAAGCGAAAAACAACAGAATGACTTCATGTTCCCATGACCCAGCTTCAATAATCAATCTCATACAGTTATTTTAAAGTAAATCCACATATATTACTTCATTGCCTGATAAACTGCATTTGTGTTACCTAAAAATAGGGACTCTGTCAAAAACGTACAGTAATTCCTTTATTGTGTTCTAAAAATGTTTAATAAAGTAGCTTGATTTCATCAAATAGAGCCAATCAGAGTTCAAATTTCCCTGATTGCTTAAAAATGTCTTCATCCTAGCCTGCATCACGGCTCACTAAGCTAATCCTCCACCTGCGGTGCTGGCACCCCGGGTTCTAGTCCCATTTGGGGCGCCAGTTCTGTGGTTCTGTCCCGGTTGCTCCTCTTCCAGGCCAGCTCTCTGCTGTAGCCCAGGAGTGCAGTGGAGGATGGCCCAAGTGCTTGGGCCCTGCACCGCATAGGAGGAAGCACCTGGCTTCTGGCTTCGGATTGGTGCAGCGCGTCAGCTGTAGCGGCCATTTGGGGGATGAACCAACGGTAGGAAGACCTTTCTCTCTCTCTCTCTCTCTCTCTCTCTCTCTCTCTCTCTCTCTCTCACTATCTAACTCTGCTTGTCAAGAAAAAAAAAAAGTCTTCATCCAGTTGATGTGTTTGAGTCAGGATCTAAAAAAGTTTCCAATACTGTTTGATATATCTCTTAAGTCTTTTTCAGTCTTAATTCCACCTACCTTTTCTTTTCCCTTATTGTTTATTAAACCTAGTCATGCTCTATAGATTTTCTCACATTCTGGATTTTGTTGATTACATCCCAGTGGTAGTGCTTGCTATGTAGTCAATCCCATTTTATTTCCTGGTAGTTAGAGCTCGATGCTTGCATAGATGTAGGCTTGATTTTCATTTTCATTTTGGCAGAAAAATTTTGTATGTGTTATTGTTTACATTGATCGGGGATATCTTGCTTTTTTACGATGTAATGTTAATAGCTAACAAAGGTATTATCAGCCTAATCTATTCACTGTAAAATTCTCTTATCAGCCGTACCCCCAGAGTAGCAGCCTTTGCACTGTCTAGATTCACGATTTTATTATAGATTGCAAGATGATGATATTCTAATTCTGTCTTTCCTTATTGGCTAGAATTTTTCTGTGACAAACTTGATCCTATCAACTATTCAGTTACCTTGAAAGCTGTTCCTCTTGAAACAACAGGATAAATGATTCTCTTTATTTTTCAGTTCTCAGAGTAATGAGTCAATTCCTTTAAACATCAGTACAGTCTATTTTAATGGCTTTTCACAGAATCAAAGACGTGATAATTTTTTTGGTTTTGTTTTTTAATCTACAAGATTAGCCATTACTACCATTAATTGTTTGTATTTCTAGAAGTTAAGGTGTTGGGTGGAGATTTGAAGCTAACTAACCTAGCTACCTTAAATTGTATAATAGGAATTACTGTTTCTGCTGGATAAGTCCCATGAGCAACACTGAGATTTTCAAAATTATCTTCTAGTTCAAATTGCAGCCTCATTTCAACCTCTATAGCAAGTCTTTGTAGCTGGCTACAGTTTTCACTGACCATAGGAAAGTTAGCTGACATCAAGAAAATAGGCTTTAAAGGTAGAATTAGAAATAATTACATTGATATGTATTGGACTTCTGGGATACAGTCACTTTATTGTGTATAGCATATTTGCATAAAAACAAGATTTTTTTTTTGTCATCTACTCTAGGGGTTGGCTTTTACTTGACACCCTAATCTGGTACTTCAATGTCTCAATCCTCTTTCTTGCATTAATTGAGAGGATGACATGTATGAAAAATAAGCAGTAGGATCTCATGAATCCCCAAAGACCAGTTATCCTGTTTTCATGCAAATATCTACACTCTTAATGATGATGGAAAGAAAAAAAAATGCAAAAAATATTTGTCCTCTAAACATGATTGTTCGTCACATCCCAAGAGCGCTGTTAAATGTTAGTGTAGAGATCAGGTAAGCCCTTAGAGCTGATAGTAACTTGATTGTGTCTTTTGGAAGATGAAATTTACCCTTCGATGTGGTCCATGGTTATGCCTCACAACCCTTTTGATACACTGATTTTTGGAATGCATTTATAACCTCTCAAATGATAGGTGCCCCTTAGCTTGATTTGAGAAGTTAATTTATATGAAATTCCTTTGAAATATATAGAAGTAGTAAAACTTCTGCCCTTGTATATAAAGAATTCTATTTACATACATTTCCATCTAAGTTCAGTGTCCTTCCTTATTTACGAGAACTATTGTAGTCACTTTCTAACTGGTTACTCTTTCAGCTACCCCATTCCAGTTCATCTTGTTTACTACTGTGAGATTAGTTTCTCTACTACCATTTACTAGGGCTGGTGTTACGGTACACAGCAAGTTACAATACCATTTGCTTCTAAGTCATTGGTAGTACGTCATTACCCCCGTGATAATATTTAGATTCCTTAGCATGGCACTCAGAATCCTCTACATTGTGCCCTTACTTAATCTCTAGCCTTCATACTTACTTATCTGCTACAGAAGCACCACTACTATTCCCACTTGAAATACTTCGTC